GGAAATGCTATTTGTATTAAAACTTGTTAATGTATTTTTCAAATGTTAAAAGAGTAAATTTTATAACAAAGAAAAAAGCACTAACCAGCGTCATAATATATTTCTAATTTTAGAAGTAAAATAAGAAAACTACAGATAAAAGTTAGTTGAAATGATTAAGTACGAAGTCGCTTGCAAAATAAATAACCCAAAACGTATATTTTATAACACAACAACCGTTTTAGTCGTTCGTTTTGTAAGATTTATGCTTGAAGTTGACATATTTCATTCATTGATTAATATGTATAATAAATTTTCTGGTAACTCGTAACCACTTATTTTTCAATTCGATATGACCGATGAATCATTGTACCGTATATCTCAAATCAATATCTTAATTCGAATCTCTAAATACCTTGCATGTACTCGTATAGCAATGTGCATTCAATGACACACACATACAAATGTAAGTCAGTAGTTAAGTACGAAGTACTTAGAGCATACTGAAAGTTTCTGGATTCTGATAAATGACACTTATAATACATTTATTGTTTTTTAAAGTATATTCCCTCGCAATTTATGCATTTTTGCATTCGCTGAAAAATAGGCTTCTGTTACTTTAGCGGAATGTGAGGATGCGTTATCGTGGTGAAGGGGACATTGCTTCAAGGAAGCTTTTTCTTTCTTAACTTTCGTCGACAAATCTTCAAAAGGAAAGACCCACTCTGCCGACTGGCTTTTTCTTTCGGGTTCAAAGCAATACACCTATGTTTCGTCACCTGTCACGATATTATGGACAGCAGACGACTGTACTCTGTTAAACTTTTTTATCATTTATATAGCATCACTGGACACGCAGTTGTTTCTGGTCCTCCGTTAAGTCATACGGTATCCATCCATTTTTTGCACTTGGCTCATTAAAATGCCTAACTTTTAATTAAAATAATTACTATTATTATTAGTAGATTAGTAATTTTTGTCACTTTCAATAAGTTGTCGTACGGTGTCAATATTAAAGTGTGTAACCGCAGTCACCGGTCGAACTTTCACGTATCTCTGGAGATGATCATCCACGTCTAAATTTTCCAAACCACGAATGCACAGAGCTGCAACATGGTGGTTCATCACCCAATGCCAATTAAAGTCTCTGGCAACTCTTTTGTTGACTTAAGCCACAAAAAAATCATTGAATGAAAATATTAACAAGTTAAATTAATTTTGATAGCGACCTACAATTTTCGAGAGGACGTCACAGTAAAAAAACAAATGACAGTCTCGCAAATTAAAAAGAATGTTCCCAAAGAGTTTTATTTTTGAATTACATAATTGTTTTTTATTATTTTATTGTAAGTGGCCCGATCCAGAGACTTTTAATATACCCCACGTACTTGTGATTTTTATAAAGTATTACAAGAAAATTGAAACTAATACCGCAGAATGGTTTTTAAAACATTAATAATAATTTGCAAATATATGAGTGAAGAAACGAGTTATTACAGTTTACATGTACACGTAAACGTATCATTTTACCTTACCGTAATAACACACAAATGTAAACCTGACGAGGTATTTCATTTGCCGTGTCTACAAGCGATACGATATCCATACATAGAAAATGATATTACAGATAGATTATCTATACTAATATTATAAAGCTGAAGAGTTTGTTTGTTTGTTTATTTGTTTGTTTGTTTGAACGCGCTAATCTCAGGAACTACTGGTCCGATTTGAAAAATTCTTTCAGTGTTAGATAGCCCATTTATCGAGGAAGGCTATAGGCTAACTAAGACCAATAGGAGCGGAGCACCAATGAAGAATGTTTCCAAAACGGAGAAAATTTACTACTATTGAGAGACGCAGACGAAGTTGCGCGGTTCAGCTAGTGATAGATATAAAGGTATAAGTACCAATTATGAAGCAAATAAAAAAAAACAGATTTTCTGAGGTTAACTCGAATTTAGCCTTGACTATAAAAAATAACGTTTTATTAAACACCGATGTAAGGTGTTTTTAAAATTTGATAATATTCTAACTAGCTTTTGACCGCGACTCCGACCGCGTGTATGTCGGTTTTAGCGGTATAAAGTAGCCGTTACTCGTTGATAATGTAGCTGCCCATTGGTGAAATATTTTTTTAAATCGGTATAGTGGTTTAAGGGTGAAAGCGTAATAAACAAACTCACTTTCACATTTATAATGTAAGTATGGGTCTATCCTAATTTACTCTTATAGTTAAGCAGTATAAACAGTTAAATTATTTGTATGAGATGTATTGTAATAATAGAATAAAAAACCCCGGTTACTGGAACCCGAGACATAACACCACCACCCCAACGGTGGGTGGTAGCCGAGGGGATTTCCGCAGAGAAAAAGAAAGAAAAAGTGTAATTTTAACAAAAATAAAATTTCTAGGCCTTCGATTAAATTTTATTCAAAGATCTAGGCCGTTAATTAGATTTTATGTTTCTCAGAAAATTGTCGTACTGTCTACTGTTTGCAATCTACGAATTTATCTGCGAATAACACTCACCCATAAATAGCTATTCTGTATTTAATGTAATAATTTTAACTTACCGATAGTAACGGTTCTTACCACCCATAAGGTGTGATCGCTTACTTGATTTAATTGTCCGGTGATAAAATTAAACTTTAGAAGGGTAATGTGTATTGTATTTTACTACTATTCCGGTATTCTAAGGTTAATAAAGTATTGCTTTGTAATTAGTTTTGTTATAAAGCAAAGTCATCAGTGCGTCTGATAGGGATACGTCTCTCTTCGTTTAAACACTTTGCGGATAACTCTGAACCCATATAGAGTAGGTATTTCAAATTGGCCTGGACTCATAAAATTTCAAGAAACAAAGTTTCACATCAAAGGCAAAGATAAAATCCGAGTCATTAATTTACTGTTATATCACTTTGTTTTTGTGATAACACATATTTTGCGCTCAGATGTCCATTGTGTATTTTGATGGTCTAGGAAGAGTATTTTCCAAAGGGCAGAGTTATGCTCCAAAATTGGCTGATTTGTATAAAAAGGACATTAGAGAAAGTACGTGAGGTATAAAAGGATATGTGTTTAACTTGGGTCTACTAAAACTTAAACTAAATCTATCATTAAATATTACAGCTATTCGTCTATAGAAAATTTCGATAAAACTATTGTTCTTCAATCATTGTGTGCGTAAATATATTGTGGAGTACTGGCCTTGTGTCAACTTGTGCTTCTTATTGAAATGAATGGTAGACACAAAAATAGTTGCCAGTTAAGCACACTAAAAGCAACACGTAGTTTACCTATCACATAACCCCATATATGCTACTGCAGACGTTAAAATTCATTTAGACACCCATAAACGCCCTCTAGAAGGTGACCTATTAACTGTTTCATTCATACATATATCATTATTTCCTTGGTTGACTGATTTATCAACCTAAAAAGAGCCTACAACGCTGTGACTACAAACGTGAAATTCTGGTAGCTTATGCGTTTTTTATTGTAAGCTCAAAAAGGATTTTTGGGTAGGTAAGGGGGTAAAGTAAGAAAATCACAACATTTTGTGGAAAGATTAACACAACTCCAATAAAATACAAGGTCTAAAATATAAACGTTTATACCTCTACTGATGTAATGGAAGATTGTTTTTGGAATTTTCATCTACAAATGCTGTATTATCGTGTAGAATTTTGCACTTGAAATCGAGCATTGCAACAGATATAAATTAGCTGATGCGCTAGAGATTGAAACAAGTAACTTCGTACTATATCAATTTACCCGTACACATCTCACACACGGCCGTCTGATCCCAAAGTAGGCAGAGCCTGTACTATAGTCACCAGACTGCTCATCAACATACTTATATATGACTAAATATATAAATTACACCTAGACACAGAACAAATGATCATGCTCATCACACAATTATTTGTCCTGAGTGGGAATCGAACTCACGTTTTTTCATAATTTTTGATTCTTTCCAGTATACTCACACAACAACGAGGCTATCTCAAACTGCAGAAGTTAGACATTATATTAATTTGTTTGTTTCAAAACAAACAAACAAATTAATATACTGTCTAACTTCAGTCAGTTACTGTCTGACAGTATCTATATTAATGTTCACTTAGTTAATTGATGATTAGTTATAAATTTCTATCGTGTTGACACCTTCGGGTGTGTATAAATCAAATAATTAATTCTTAGATATCGAAAACTCAAGTAAACAATTTCCATTTCATTATATTTCTAAAATGATACCTAGTAAGTAGTAGTAAAAAGCAGTTTCTTTTTTAAATTTATTCCTTGTTTTACAAACCACGACGTTGTAAACCAATAATAAAAGTTAATATGTTAGCATGATGATGAATAATAATCACAACGTATTTTTTATAAATATACATACGTACCTAGACCTTTCAGATCGATACATAAGATCGCTAAATACAGTATGTTATCAGTATCACCCATAGCTGTCTGTTGACTAAACAGGGTCTCTAGTCGTATAAACGCGTAAATACACCGATTTACAACATCGAATGGCACTTTCCCTAATCCTAGATTCATTCAAAATACTGTAAAGATAACGATGTTACCTCAGGATGTTACGTGAGCCACCTGCGACATACTAAATCCCGTCATAAAATCTCTATTAAACTTTAATTAAGTATCTCGAAATAGCGTTTACATTTTATTATTACACTGATGCCAAGCGCAATCGTGTTCGGAATTGTGTTGTAGCTACTTATTTCCTCAATTTACATCACTGGAGCTATAAAGTAAATACCCAGCTTTCTTTGTACTCGACTTTGCGTTCAATATACTGTTTTTAAATATTTGTATGAGGTGAAACACGTTGACGTAGATAAAAGTTTTAATTGCGAAATTTATATCATAAACTTTGCAAAATATATTCTTTAGTATTTTTTATTACCATTTTTAACGTTCAATTCAGTAAGGAGAGTTTGTTTGTTTTTCTAAAAATAAATGCAAAAAGTGTTTCAGAAGAAAAGTTTAAACTTACCCCTTTTCCTCTCGCCTTGTCTGACGTTGGGCCGTGATTCCTTTTCTTTGCTCTATGTTCCATCATGGTTTGATTAAAATATTATTTGCGACTATTCAATTTACTTTCACTGAATAACACTATTATGTCTCCAACACACATCCTTGTCAAATAATTTAATTTCGCGTTAGCCTGGCACAAACAGCACTAAACATCCAAACATATCCAGAGAAAATCCAGTTTTGGTTCACTTTGTATGTCGAATTTCAGAATACGTTCTGAAAATGAGTGCTTTAGTTTCCCGCGCTGAGAGTCGCAACGTAGAACGTAGTTACCGATCGCGGGAGGCGTCGCGCTACGCTTCCAACTTGACGTGGAGTGGGCATCCTCGCCGAGTAACTCCCGCCTCCGGGCTCCACACGTCCCGCCGCCTACTCGCCCCGGTCGCGACGGCCCGTGCACACGTCCACAAGATAAGTAAACAATACATTCCTTCTAAGATAACAGTATAACCCTTCTTAACCCACCCCTAATTAAATCGTCGTTGATATTTAGATAACGACTACCAAGCGAAGATAGAGCTTTAAGTTAATTATTTGTTTTATATTCTGTGTATATTCTTTATAACATAGGATTAAATATTAAACATATTTCTTTTAATATAAATAAGAACTTTAATGTGCTCTACAGGACCAGTGCAAATTAAGTAGTGCTTTTTGTGTTCGGTAGGTGGCGCGTGATTTATTGTCAAATCACAGAAAACCACCGTTAAGCAGATTTTTTGAATGAATGAGCTTACCGGAGCCCAAACCCTCCTCTCCCTGATTCTGGGCGGCGGGGTGGGGAGACCTCAAATTTGATAAATCATATCCTCACACCTGTGACTGATTTACAAAACCAGTGCGACCTAATTATTATTATTACGCTAACAAAAGACTCGCGAAAGGTCTAAATCAAAGAAAAACTAAGCTCGTAATCTTCGATAAAAAGAATTTTGATTGATTTTAATGCCATTTATCTTTGTCTATGACGAAATCACAATTACATGTGAAATCACTATGACTAAAGCCAATCATTTCATCAGATAAATATGATTTAAAAGTAGCAGTAATTTCCATGTCTAGTGGCAAACACTTGAGACTCTTGACTTGTATGTGGCCGTGGGTGGCGGTAGTCACTTACCATCAGCTCCCTATGCCATAAAAATCACTTCCTTACTCGCGACTGGCCGTTATGGCGGGTAGAGGAAAAAACCCGTCCCGTCCACCCGCGGGCCCCACTCAGGGCGGCATGAGGCGGTGGTAAGACGGCCTCCGCCGCCCGGTTCGCGGGCGACGAATTGGGTCCGAGTGGAGGTTTTCCTCCCGCGAGAGACTTCTTCGCAGAAACATCTGGCACTACCGGCCATGGAGCTGCAATGAGGACCCGGTGCTGCGGCGCCCAAGCCGGGCAAATGAAATGATCGGCTGGAGCACCTCCACGGTGGCGAAGACTGCACTTGGAGCCTCCAGCCGGGACGACCAACGAGCCATCGTGGCTCGGCGAGCAGCCTCACGCCACTGACGTATTTTTTCGGGCGGGGGCCGAATGCCGCTATCCGCTCAGAACTCATCCGTTCGTCGCCTAGCGACCAGACGCCTCAGGTACTCTGGCACCCCATGATAGTGGAGTGCTTCCCTGATGTAGCTGAATTGCAGACTATTGAATGCGTTGGCGATGTCAAACGACACCGCCAACAGCACGCCGCCACGGCTCACCGCCTCTTCGGTTACGGTCTTCAGGCGCAACACAGCGTCGACCGTCGAACGCTCCACTCGAAAACCGAATTAGGCATCCGACAGATCGGGGCCCACCTCGCAGATGTGCCGGACGATGCGGGCAGAGAGAATTCTCTCAAACAATTAACCCGCCTCGTCCAGTAATGCGATGGGCCTGTAGGCCGCGACCGAATCAGAAGGCCGTCCCGGCTTACTCAGTAGGACCAGCTTCCCGCTCTTCCAGCCAGCACTCGGGCCGGTGTCCCGTCTGGCCCAGGGGCGGTGTTCTTGGAACGGATCGTTTCGGGAATAGGCCCCAGGCTTATGTCGCACCGCGCGATAAGAGCGATTCCAGCATCTCCTTTCCTTTTTCCGATTAGCCGAGAGGCGCTGAAAACTCTGAAGCTCACCATTGCCAGCCCGACCGATTGTTGTGTTGACTAACAGAGATGCTTCTTGTTCATAGACTTTAGATGTGGAGTGCTATGACTAGAACCGAAGTCTTGTGGTATCTCAGTTTGGGCAGATGATGTAGTATGGATTTTATTATCGATTCCTATTATACGAAGCGGTAATATGCTGCTGATTTCAATAATCATTGTTATGTTCCTCCTAGACAAAAAGAGAATACAAAGTCTATATTCGTCTACCAAACCCGCAGAACGATTGATATTGTTAAGTAGATACTTAAGAGTATATGCCAATCGTTATGCTTAGGTAGTCTTGCAACACTTATTAGATTAGTTACAAGTAGTTTAGACTTTTTTCTCTAAATTGATCTGTGTATATTTCACACATTTGAAGTATTGTGGTTCTATTTGATGACATTGTAGTTTATCTATAACTGACTGGTATAGAAAAATTAATAGGAATAAAATTAGCTTTTCGATATGATACTAATTGGCCAAGTTTAATAGTATCACTATAAAGTCTAAATTCGTAACCGATCTACTGACCAATCTATTTGACTCATGACATCATTACTATTGACATAATACGGATCTAAATTGTAAACAAGAATTCCGTCTCATTCACTTATCTTGTGCACTGCAATTTCGATCACGATTACAGCCATACTATGTACTACTATGTAAATAAAGCAATCATTTTATTTGCCACTCTTGCATAATTGACCAGGGTTGTACGGTATTTACAAGTGAACGAGAAAATTTAGATGTTAATTGTTAATAATGAAAGTAAGGCTGGCAGTAACCACTTAAGAGTCGCTTGCAGCGTTAACTAACTCCTAATGATTCTACTACAAGATTGCTATAAACGTCGAATCCCATCGACACTGCATACAAATTGCCCAAGCTTTTAGCGCGTAAAGTTGAAAATACATTTTGTTGTATTGCCTACCTAGATACCTCGCAATATGTATCTACACAATAAAGTACGACATTTTAAAAAGGTCAAACGATTGAAGTAATGCAACAGAGAAAATAATTTAACTTTTTAGACCATTAAATATTTACAAAATTTACATACAAGCATCAATAAATTCCTCCGCATCATCGCCAACTGGTAGCGTTCCCAGAAGACTGGCAGCATTACCACGTTGAATGGCAATGCTAATTCCCTGTGCTTGAAAAAGGCTGTTTCTTCTTTTGACGATACTTTAAGAGATACTGCTGACTCGATCAGTCGATCCAGTCGAGTTATAACAGTAGTTTCCCGAAAACTTCTGAAAACGATCTTAAATATTTGCCTTTTCCTGTTTAGTAAAATATAAATTGAAATATACCTTACAATTTGGCAATGACAATATTATTTTCTATAAAAAAGTAAAAAGTAAGAGCCACGATATACTTTTTCAAAATAATACTTTATAATCTCCAAAGACAGTTACTGAAAAAACTAATTTATGTTTATCCTCCATCTTACCAGTTTATGAATAAAAAAATATAGTGTTATAAAAATAATAAATATACACTCATAGGGTTTAGATTTCATAAGTATGTATTTAGTAAAACTAAACTCTAAAACAGTTAGATTTTACTGTAACCTTGTAAATATGTTTATAATGTCGTTTAGCCTGTTTTAGTACAGAACGCCAAAATTGAGGGATTCTAATCAATTTAGTTCTAAAAGCCTATGGAAAAATTTTGTGATATTGACGCTAGCACTAAGTGAAGTGTGGTATTTGCGTCAAATGGATGCGCATTTGTTATCGTAATACGTATACTTATCCAGTCGGTCAATGGTCTGGTTTATTATTTTTTGTATATAGAATAATTAGTAAAGCAGCGCACGGATGACTGTAGATGGGAGACCAAATATATAAATGAATGTTCATTTATATATTTGGCACGCTGGCCAGACCGGTTGGTATAGGGTTTTGTCAAGTTTTCCTTCTCTCTGCAGTGCTGTTGTTTTGCGTAGTTTTCTCCCTTAGTCGGCTCTTATTACACCCACGGGATGAATAGGGGTGGTGACGGGATTGTGTGTGATGTATAGTTGTTGGCCTCAGATGGCTTCGACAACCTTGCACGGGCTTTTCGGTGAGCGTTGAGGGCTCTCAACCGGTATTTTGCCCAGAGGCGTACAAATATATTTATGTATAAACATTGTCAAGTTTTTTTCTTACTGTTTACACTCATTTTACTTTTTAAAATATCATAAATTTGTAGGATTATTTAAACTTTCACATTATTAATAACGACAACAACAATAATTAATAATCACATGCATGTTAAAATAAATACAATTTACAATCAATTTTAATAAATGCCAAATACATTAAGTTAATGTGAATTTAAAAAGCATTAAGCTAGGTATTGTACAATTTTCTAAAGCAGTGATTATAGAATTGTCGTGCAAATAGTCCTTTAGTGAGTAATAGTATTTACTTATCAAGATTTTTAATACATTTTTTTTTTAATTGACCAGATCTTTATATGACTAATACCACATTCTACATTACTTATTGTAGCTGCTGCATAAATTATATTCATTGTTAATCCTCAATAAATACTAATTTCCAATACAGTTCTAGAGGTTAATGCCTCTAAACAAACAAAGAAATAAAACCTTTTCAGCTTTATTATAACAGCTAATATTCTATCATTAATATTTTAAGAGTATAACGACGTTATGATAATCTATTGTGAGGGGAATTTAGTTCAAGTGTAGAACATTTAAAATGCGGACAAAAAGGTCGATTCGAAGAAACTGCTTATTTCCGATACATTAATCATCTTTAGCACGACTGCCAATCATGTATGTTATCAACACACTCACTGTCATAAGTAGTGTTAGGGACATAATTTGATAATGTTAATGATGTTTAAAAATAAAATTATAATTTTGTATAAAGATTGATCATTGTCGGGTCCTAGGGTCATTGCCTGGCGCCAAAATTTTCAAATAAATATATTTCATAACAGCAATTGCCGCTAAAAACTTTATTAAAATTGTTAGGTATTATTGTTTATGCTCTATGGCACAAATTTGTAAAGGCCTAAGTCCAGTAGTGGACTACAATAGACTAATTGATTACTTATTTCGTTCATCAAAGTTGATCGAAAATTTGAGAAGTAGACACATCACGGAAAAGTGATATACTAGGCATGCCTTTTAATTTCTGTTGTTGCCATATTTCCCGGCAATTTTGAATTTGGAACTGTCCTATATTCGAATATGTTTAAATTTTGAATCTCAAAACAGTTGAAAGTATTAGGATTAATGCTATTGTTAAGTCACAGCGTCGATTGGAACCTTTAGGTTACGTACGAAAATGAATCTTTCTAAAGACT